GATTGATGTCATTCTCAAAAGCTTACTCTTTTTTACATATACTATGCAGACTCTATGTTATGATTGATATTATCCGCCGTATATTAACAGATTATTTCAATTATGACATTTTATTTGTCATGAATATAACTGATATTGATGACAAAGTATTGAATTTATGGTTTTTTATATTCTTAATACTTCCGCACAATATTTTTAAATAACTTTTCGATCAAAAATGTATAATAGATTATACTCCGTGCCCGTAAAAATTATCTTTTCAATAACTTTAAATCTGAAACAAAATCACTTACTCCAACGCTGATTGAACAAATCCGTAGTGCTTTGAACGATTTTACTAAATCGAAACTTGGTGTTACGGGTGATGGCCTCGAGGGCAGTACATCTCGAGATGATCCAAAATATCTTTTATATGCTAACTCATTCGTAAGCTATATTCATTATTTTGTCACTTGCATTTTCAAGTCATTGGTTGTGTAACTATTTACATATTGCAAATGTTTATCACCCTTTGTTAGAGGGAAACCGTCAAAGCTGTGGTAGCAGCTGAAGTAGCACTCGAGGATAACGATACTAGCCAAGAAACTGCCCATCAACTTCTAAATGAATCTCAAGAAATTGTTACAGAATGGTTGGATCAAAAGGTAGGTGTTTTATCGTTCAAATGAATTAAAGTGCAATTTTCTAAAATGTACTTGTTTAGGACGGAGCATCCATTACAGACCAAAAAGTTTTTCGTGATTTGGCTGCTCATTGGGAACAAGAATTTATGGAAGACATGCAAACCTTAAACGTGAGAATATAACATAATTCCTTGCTATTAGTATAATTAACATTGTCATTTAATGCTATATGCTAAATCAAAAATTCTATTAGGTTCGTCCATGCGATTTTCTGACACGCGTCAGTGAATATGTTCCAGAAATTGTCGCATATATTCAAAAAATAATTGACAATGGTTTCGCCTACGAGGTTGATGGTTCTGTATATTTTGATACCGTTACCTTCAATAATAAAGAGTGCCATCATTATGCAAAATTGGAACCTTGGTCAGCCAACAATGAAGGACTCATTGAAGAAGGAGAGGGCATTCTTGGAAGTAAATTATTAGGGAAACGAAACAAGGGTGATTTTGCTTTATGGAAAAAGAGTAAAGCTGGTGAACCGTCCTGGGATTCACCTTGGGGATTTGTAAGTACATTTTCAATCGTGTTTTAAGTAATCTATCGTACATCGCATATAATAAAACAATACACTTTACTTATAGGGACGTCCAGGATGGCATATTGAATGCTCAGCAATGGCTAGGTATAGTACTTTGTACTCTTACTTATACGTATATATCGTCACCATTTGAATATTATGTGACTTATTTTTATAGCGAAATTTTTGGCGACCATCTTGACATTCATTCTGGTGGCATTGACTTAGCATTCCCGCATCATGATAATGAAATAGCTCAATCTGAGGTAATGGTCGCTAATATATTATTTATTAAGCCTTAATAATTAAAGATGACGGATTTTCAACAGGCGTATCATGAATGCCAACAATGGGTAAATTATTTTGTGCATATCGGTCATTTAAACATTGAAGGTCAAAAGATGAGCAAATCGTTGAAGAATTTTATTAGTATTCGCGTTAGTATAATTTTGACATCGATTTATTCGATTCGGCTATTCTGATTCACAGTGAATTAGGTAATTTATATCTGAATATATTTATGTAGCAAGCTTTAGAAAAACATACTGCACGACAATTGCGATTATGCTTCCTTCTTCATCAATGGGATGCAAAACTAGATTTCAAAGAAAGCACTATGGGGGAGGCTAAGGGTATTGAAACGATTTTAAACGTATGCATATTTTCTTTATAATTATTATTCGTGTGCCATAAATTTCATTCTAATTGACATCCTTATTAGAATTTCTTTGTTAACACAAAAGCACTATTGAACGAATTCAAACAAACTGCATACGAATCCGATGGCACACATCGACATCATGCTTCTGAAAAAGAGCTAATGAACCTGTAGGCAATCAGTTTGTGTGATCTTCTGATCAGTTAATTGTACTAATTATTCATTCTTTTAGATTTCGTGAAAAACAATCAGCAGTTCACGCGGCACTTTGCGACTCCTTTAATACACCAACTGCAATGGACGAAATAATGGAACTCATTAACAAAACTAACATCTATGTATCTGCTGGAAGAAATAACATTAGCATGTACGTACTCGAAAATATAGCAAAATATGTGACAAAAATGTTAAAAATTTTTGGTGTTATTGGAAACACATCATCTGAAGATATTGGCTTCGGTGATTCGGAACAAAGCGTTATAAACGTAAGCACTTTTATACTATATTTTATTATCGTTTGTCGTCGCAAAGCATAAAATTTATTGTAATATTTTTACTTATTTTGAAAAGCGAGAAGAGGTTGTACTTCCATACCTTCGTGTTCTATCAAGTTTTCGCGATAATGTCCGAGATCTTGCACGCCAACAGAAAGGACATGGTGAATTTTTAGCCTTGAGTGATAAGCTAAGAGACATTGATTTGGTAAATCTTGGAGTGTCGTTAGATGATCAAGAAGATGGAAAGGCTTTGATTAAATTCGTGGACAAGGATGTACTTATCAAAGCAAGAGAGGCAAAATTGCAGCTCCAAGCAGAAAAAGCCGCCAAAAAAGAAGCTGCCGCAAAAGCTAAAGAGGAAGAAAGAAAAAGAAAATTGGAAAAGGGCAAACTCGCAGCCGAAGACATGTTTAAAGAGGAAAAAGATGAAGATGGAAAAATTCTTTATTCTGCATTCGATGAACAAGTATGTTTTAGCTATATATATATATCCAAACTAGTAATTATCTCATGTTAATATAACATTTATTTGCCTGCTTCTAGGGAATTCCGACACACGATAGTAATGGAGAAGAACTGTCGAAGAATAAAATTAAAAAACTAAAGCAAAAATGGGATATTCAAAAGAAGTTAAATGACGAATATCTGGCTACTATTTCCAATTCTGACATTTAATATAGAACATTTATGCAGTTCTGGCAAAAAAATTGACACTTTATTATTATTTGTTATTAGTAAAACTTTTTACAAAAAGTTTAAATATAAAAATTTATATAGATATTTAAAAAAAATTAAAAATAACATTTAAAGAATTAAAGTTTAATAAGAATGGTTTAAAAAATTGAAAATAATTATTTTTACTAGGAGAAAATTTTATTTTTTTTATGTTTTTAGAGTTAGAGTGCAAATTAAGACCAAGACAGAGTTTTTTTTTTTTTTTTTTTTTATTATATAATATAGTAGAAACTTTAAAATATAATAAGAAATTTAATTACAAAAAAAAATTCCTAAAATAAAGATTTCTAAATTACATTTGTGTTGCTAAAAAATAAATACTCAATGTGACATTATATCTTTTATTTTTTAATAAGTGTTATAGATAATTGTTTCAAATTATTTTCTAGTTAGGATAGGTTAAAGGAAACCTTAGGTGAAAGTCAAGATATTATATAAAGCATCTGATTAGAGTAAAACTTTGTAATAGTTATTTGTTAATTGTAGGTATAGTGTTAAAAGTTTGTGTAGCTTTTGGAAAGTTGTTAGTAAAGGTAGATATTGTTGAAAAGTTAATTTTTGTATATTTAGTTTTAGTAGTTATTTTTTTTATTTTATTTTATTTTTTTTTTATAATT